CATACTTTAAAGCGAGATAAGGAGATATGTCAGTGGTGATTGCAGCAGGTAATTGAGTTGTCACGTTAATGTAATTAAGACCTACAGTTTGATGGAGGGAGACTAAAAATAACTGCACACAATTGAATTGACTCAGGAAAACACATCCAGTTCATTCACAGTGAGAAACCGCTGTAGAACAGTAACATGGACATATGCAGGATGATTAACACAAGGTGTCTGAAAGATTCCTAAAATCATCAACCACAAAATGCAGAGATTAGATTGCTCCTGCATTTGGAGGCTCTCTGCAGTGTATCCACAGCTTAAAATGTCACCATTTTTCATACTTGGCTTCTACCTAGAGGGGTAATGCATTACATCTAGAAAAGCCTCAGTAAAAAAAACATACTTAGCATCTTCTGAACAAATGCATATTTGATGCAGGATGTAGGAGCCCAAAAGCCCAAAAACGTGTCCACTGTCCTGACTCCACAGATGATATTTCAGCCTCAGCGGCAGTGGCGTTTGACAGGACAGGACTTCTTCTTCTGTTTTTTTTTTTTCACATTACAAAAAGTACACGATTTCATTTTAATGAAAATGTGATTGATATGTACGCAGCGAGTGCATGGATACAGCAGTGAAAAACAGTACATTCAGAAACAACGGCTTCATTTGATTTCTAGGGAAGTGAGAAGACTTCATTAGGTTGCTGCTGGTTGTTTCAGATCAGGCAGTTCATCATTCTCTGTGTTGTTATCAGGAGCTCCAGCAGCTCTCGGCCATGGCAGACACACACAGGCCAGCCTGGCTCCCAGCAGTGGAGCAGGACAGCCCTAGTCACAGCCAAATTAATAAAACATCTCCTTCCAGCAGCCCAGCTTCACCACTATCATCCTGGAGCAGATGCAAGCAGCCTGGGCCAATGCTTTTTCTGTGTAAGACCCGCACACATCTCTCTCTCTCTCTCTATCTTTAACTCTCGCCATCACTTTTATCTCTCTGTCAAAGTAACTTTCCTCTCTCACACCCTCACTTTCGCGATTAAGCTACGTACAGCTTTTCCCACAGCCAACACACTTTGAGTCTGGAGGCCTGCCATCCAGTGCTTTCTCTGTGCCAGAGCTTTGGGTCAGCGTAAACACCACTGACCTGTTTTCAACCTGATTGCCAAAACTTGTGTAAACGCTGGGATCACGTTCAGATGTGTTTAAGAGCTTACTGGCCTCATGGTGAGAGTGATGCTGGGATATCAGTGCGAGGACTGGCTGGGCATGAGCCTGACGGCTGAAACAAACTAATGAGAGACTTACAGAAGCTCATCTTTTGATGTGTTTGCGTGTGTGTGTGTGTGTGTGTTGCTCCAGGGGTCGAGGTTGCTGCTTGTATCACATCAAAGTGAATGAACAGCAGTCAGTGGCAGAACTCTCAGAGACAGAACATGACCTGTCTTCACAATTACAGCTGTGAGTAAGCTGTATTTCCAATACTTACAGGGGAAATCATACGATTTTTAAAAATTTCATAATTAAACCATATAGATGTAAACAGAGTCATTCAGAGTGGTTTGATGTGAAACTTACTGAATTCATTACAGTGGTGGTGATAGGAACCAAGGGTTGTGATGTCTACAGTGCAAATATATCCATTTTTTTACTATCTAAAACAATCAGTGAACCCACATGTGTCTTCTCAGTTTTAATATGTAAGGTTGATTATGGCAAAATAATGGTAAAAAATATATACACTTTCTTTGAGCACTAATTTGCCCACCATGACTGGATATGATTTAAGGCCAAAATATTATTTATATTTATACATAATATAAATACTGCTACCATTGTGAAAAATTCTGACTTGGTTGCCTTCTCTAGAACTGAGCCTTTCACACTAAACCACTCTGAATTATGTTGTGTGCATCTAAACAAACTCATATAAACAAAAGTTATTACATATTACAATTTAACAATAAAGATGTTTTCAAACATTAGTGGAATTTCTTTTTAAGCCACAAGATTTACATCTTATGCTAGTGTACACCTACAAACACCTGAAGCCTCAAAGTGTTGGTTGACACAAGGCATGAATAAACATGAGACACAGTCAAGATTACTCACTGGTTAGTCAGTGTTGACACTCATCTGTGAGTTATCACTGTGTTGCTTCATTACTTCCATGCAGCTTATAGTAAGTAAGAGATAGGGGCAGATTCTTCTGCAAGGTCATTCAATACTGAAATGAGAGCTCTTGAAGTAAGGGGCAGTTCTCTTTGGCTATTTAGGCTCTTATTTTCCATGTCTGCTATTTTCCTGTATTGTAATCAGAAATCACACCAAAGGGGGATTCAAGATTTATGGCTCAACAGAGGACAGTGTGTTAGGACTAGAAGGGAGAGGGTGTGTTAGGTCACACAGGATGGTGTGTTAGGACACAGAGGACACATTAGGCCACATGAGACAATATGTTAGGTCATATGAGACAATGTTAGGCATTGACCTAACACACACATTAAGACTGTGTTAGGTCATTAGGTCATTTTAACCTGTATTACCATACAGGACTAGGTATTACTGGTTATTGTGTTAGCTACTATGAAAGAGCATGTTAAGTCATATAACTGTATGTGGGACAGTGTGTTAGGTCATATTAAAGTGTGTATTAAGTAGTATGGGAGAGTATGTTAGATCATATGAGACAGTGTGGAGTAATATAGAACAGTGTGTTAGGTCATATATGAAAGTGTGTCAAGTAATTAGTAATACAGTGTGTTAGGTCAAATAAGACAATGTGTTAAGCAATATGGGAGAGTATGTTAGATCATAGAAGACTTTGTTAAGTAATATGGGACAGTGTGTTAGGTCATATATGATAGTGTCTTAAGTAATAAGAAATACAGTATGTTAGGCCATATATGACAGTGTGTTAAGTAATTAGCAATACAGTGTGTTAGATCATATAAGACAGTGTGTTAAGTAATATGGGACAGAGTGTTAGATCATACAAGACAGTGTGTTGAGTAATATGGGACAGTGTGTTAAATAATAAGGGACAGAGTGTTAGATCATACAAGACAGTGTGTTGAGTAATATGGGACAGTGTTAAATAATAAGGGACAGAGTGTTAGATCATATAAGACAGTGTGTTGAGTAATATGGGACAGAGTGTTAGATCATACAAGACAGTGTGTTGAGTAATATGGGACAGTGTGTTACATCATACAAGACAGTGTGTTGAGTAATATGGGACAGTGTGTTAAGTAATATGGGACAGAGTGTTACATCATACAAGACAGTGTGTTGAGTAATATGGGACAGTGTGTTAAGTAACATGGGACAGAGTGTTACATCATACAAGACTGTGTTAAGTAATATGGGACAGTGTGTTAAGTCATATTTGACAGTGTCTTAAGTAATAAGAAATACAGTGTGTTAGGTTATATATGACTGTGTTAAGTAATTAGTAATACAGTGTGTTAGGTCATATAAGGCAGTGTGTTAAGTAATATGGGACAGAGTGTTAGATCATACAAGACAGTGTGTTAAGTAATATATGACTGTTTTAAGTAATAAGAAATACAGAGTGTTAGATCATATAAGACGGTGTGTTGAGTAATATAGGACAGCATATTAGGTCATATACAACAGTGTGTTATGTAATATGGGACAGTGCATTAGATCATATAAGACTGAATTAGGTAATTTGAAATGTTAAGTCATATAGGACAGCGTGTTAGGTATTTTAGGACAATGTGTTAGGCATTTTGGCACACTGCGATAGTTCATATAAGACCATGTTAAGTAATATAGGACACTGTGTTAGGTATTATAGGAAACTGTATTTGGTATTTTAGGACACTGTTAGGTCATATGAGACAGCGTTAAGTCATAGATGACACTATGTTAGGTCATATGAGACAGCGTTAAGTCATAGATGACACTATGTTAGGTCATATGAGACAGCGTTAAGTCATAGATGACACTATGTTAGGTCATATGAGACAGCGTTAAGTCATAGATGACACTATGTTAGGTCATATGAGACAGCGTTAAGTCATAGATGACACTATGTTAGGTCATATGAGACAGCGTTAAGTCATAGATGACACTATGTTAGGTCATATGAGACAGCGTTAAGTCATAGATGACACTATGTTAGGTCATATGAGACAGCGTTAAGTCATAGATGACACTATGTTAGGTCATATGAGACAGCGTTAATTCATAGATGACACTATGTTAGGTCATATGAGACAGTGTTAAGTCATAGATGACACTATGTTAGGTCATATGAGACAGTGTTAAGTCATAGATGACACTATGTTAGGTCATATGAGACAGCGTTAAGTCATATAAAACACTAAAGTTTTTTGGACACTGTGTTAGGTCATATGAGACAGGGTTAAGTCATATAGGACACTGTAAAGTTTTTTTGGACACTGTGTTAGGTCATAAGAGACAGTGTTAAGTCATATAGGACACTGTGTTAGGTATTATAGGACATTGTATTCGGTATTTTAGGACACTTAGGTCATATGAGACAGTGTTAAGTCATAGATGACACTATGTTAGGTCATATGAGACAGTGTTAAGTCATAGATGACACTATGTTAGGTCATATGAGACAGTGTTAAGTCATCTAGGACACTGTGTTAGGTATTACAGGACACAGTGTTTGGTATTATATAACACTAGTAGATATTTTATGACACTGGGTTAGGTATTATAGGACACTGTGTTAGGTATCATAGGACACTGTTAGGTATTTTAGGACACTGTTAGGTCATATAAGACAGTGTTAAGTCATTTTGGACAGTGTGTTAGGTATTATAGGACAGTGGGTGAGAAAAAATACTCTAGGAAGCATCAGCTGAAACTGGAACAAACCACTGTGTCTTAAGAGTCTGGCCCATGATACCAATTGTCATTTCTTAAGTTACACACTTCTCTCCCATCCTCCAAGCACGCGCGCGCACACACACACACACACGTGCACTGTCCGACCCCTCCGCTCTCACTCACCCGCGCGTATCGGGACGAGTACGGGTCCTCGAAGAGCGCCCACATCTTCTTCTGCCAGCGGTTCCAGCGCCCGCTCCTGCTGTCCGTCATGTCGACGTGCGCGAGCCTGCGCGTCATCTCGGCCCCTTCGTCGCCGTCCGCCGCCTCGTGCGCGCCCTCGCCGCCCTCCACCTCGATCTCGTGCGCGATGTCCGGCGCCGCGCCGCCGAAGCTCACGAGCGCCTCCTCGGCCTCGCGGTGCTGCCGGTACGTCATCCAGCAGCACGGCTCCACGTCCGTCTCGTCGATGCCCCAGAAGGCGAGCTCCTCCTCGTACAGCGGACCGCACACGTCTGCCGGGCAGTGCAGCTTACCCGTGCGGTAGTAGTTGAGGATGTGCGCGAAGACGCCCGGGTGCCGGTCGAAGAAGAAGTCGTGGCCGGCGCCGTCCGCCTGCTCGGCGAGGCGCGCGAGCCGCGTGCCGGGCAGCGTGCGCAGCGTGCTGCGGTACGTCTCGTGCCTCACGCCGCCGACGTTCAGCACGACGCGCTCCTCGTCGTCGCCCTGGCCCATGGCGGGTACCTCCCTCCCTCCCTCCGCCGCCCCCCACCCGCCACCCCGTTAGCCCCTAGCAGCCGCAGGGCATCAGCACGGGGGGCGAGAGGCTACGGGCAGCATCCCGTGCTCGTGCAACACATGCATGTATAAGGGGATGGGGGGGGGGCTCGGTCGCACGAGACGGTCAGACAGTCCGTGATAAAAATAAATAAATTGAAAACGCGCGCTTGCCTTTCGCTGTTGGTGCGAGCGGCGCCTTTGTGTGTTTCAGCGCGCCATTTCGAAACGCCTGATCGTTTCTACTGTCTCCCCACGAAGCAGCACAACACCGAACCGGCTCAGCGGAACAGAGCCGAGCCCGAACGCGCACGTGTGCAGATCAGAGCTGGTCCGGGCGTCACTGGGCGCAAGGTGACCGCGCGCGGAGAGCCTTCATCACTCCGGTAACCTCAGCGCGTTGCAGCGCTGCTCTGACGGCGCGTGCCCTCCGCCCGAGAGGAGCCACCTCACCGTGTCGGTTCGGCTGGCTGGTTCAGGCTGCGGCCGCTTGTCGGTGCGCTCACTCGGCTCGAAGCTGCCTGCGCTGGAATGGAGGCTGCGTGCGAGGTGGATCGGCTGCGGCGATGTCTTCTTGGAGGAGCGCAGAAACGGACGTGGCGCGCGCGGCGCGGGGAGGGAGGGTCCTTCATTCACGGGACGCAGCGCGGTCTCGCGGCAAACGTGCTCCTCCGCATGTAAACGCACTAGCACACATGTACAGCGCGCTGGAGCCGCGAGCGCACATCCTGAATGATTTAACCACAGGTAGCCTGTAGGTGCTGTGCTCACGCGCAGCTTGACCTCCCTCCCCTCTGTGTGTGTGTGTGTGTGTGTGTGAGAGAGAGAGAGAGAGAGAGAGAGAGAGAGGTGGGGGTGTAATGGTTTTGGCAGCGTCGTCGAGCGCTTTTAAAGGCAACAAATGTGAGATGGAAAACAAACCCTCTGCTGATGTTCCGCACTGAAATGAGCAAACCCCATATTAGAGAGATGCACTGATACGAGTCTTTTGGGCCGATATCCGATATTTTTTATATGAATATCTGCCGGTGCTGATACATAAACATCTACAGAAGATACACATTTATAACGGGTGGTCCTTCAAGTGTCATTTAGTAGAGGCGATGGTTCTATTTAGAACCACGAGTTCTATATGGTTCTATCTAGCATCAAAAAGGGTTCTGTTAATGTTATTATGTCAAGCTTGTAACAACAAAAGAACCCTTTTGGTGCTATATAGAACCATTTAAAACATATTCTCCATCAATCTGAGGAACCATTTCACCATGCCAAGAACCATTTAACCGTGAAATGCCCTGCTGAAAAGAGTCCATTAGAAATCATTAGGATTAAAACCTAAAGATTTTGCTTTCTAATGTAATGTTCCAATAGAGATCAATAGTTTCCTGTAGAACACCTTTAGATCCCATTAGAAAACCATCACCTGTAAAACCATTAGGATCCTTTACACTGTGATGTCAACCCATCAATAAAGCCAAAACACATTACAAAACCATCAGGAACCAATAGAAACACTTAATGGTTTCTATGTTTTTTTTCAGCAGTGTGGTTCTATATAGAACTCATGGTTCTAAATAGAACCATTGCCTTTAATAAAGAACCCTTGAAGATCCATCTTTTTTAGATATGTAGAGTGGAACTACCTCTACCTGTGTTTGTATCACAGAGAAATCTAACACGTATTTGTGGGTTACAAATGCAGTAAAATTAACAGAATGTATAGCTTGAAATATCTGACAGCTTTTTAAAGCAGATATCTGTCGATACCGATATGATTCCAATATCACTGTGGACCCCTACCCAACACACGCACACGGTATTAAATATGGGTGTAATATAATAAGATTTATCTTCGGTTGTCAAAAAGTCCACACACACACATACTGATGTGAAAATTCCAGACCGTGTCTACAGCAGCCGACTGTTTTCTTAGTCCAAATCCTGAACTGATGCACAGCACTACTGTAGACTGCTGTGATGCAGCTGATCCAGTTCCTCTGATAAGTATTAATCACGAGATGACTCTGGTGTTGCAATAGGACATACACTAAAACTGTGTCCTGGTTCTCCAGGACTGGAACTGGAGAACCACCTGCCATTTGAAGGATTGAATTAGAGCCGCCATGATCAGTAATTGTCGGTAGGGGGCAGCAGTGCTCGACATTCTGCCTCCTCAATCCGTGTGTACTTTTCTCTGTTTCATCTGCAGAGCTGTTCTTCAGCCTTGTTTGATTTGATTAATTGGGCTGGTTATGGGAGCTTAATCGTGAGGAAGAGATCCCCTTTTCTTCATCTTTTCTTACCAGAATACATGAGAATCAAGCTACATTTTTAAAGCGTAAAGATTTGCTTCCTACAGTCCAACAATCAAACCAGAACTGCGGCCGTAAAGTAGACGCTTTTGTGGCACAGAAGCAAGATACTCCAGAGGTTATCCCTCGTCTGTAGTGTCCGGCCACGATGTGTGAATGAATTCCACTGATTATTTCAATTTTTTCCTCAGTTCAGTGATTGAGGTGTAAGCAAAGTTATTTAGAGTAGCTTGATGTGAAGTGGTTTATTGTAAAGAAGCTTACTGACTCGAACGTCTTTACAGTGCTGGTGATCGAGATGTCTACAACACAAAATAGCCATTTTATTTACCATCATACCAGACGTCTGGTTCCTATCACCATCACTGGGAACAATGCAATTAAACTCTGAACTGAACTTTATTGAGTATTTATTTGAAATCACGATTTTTATCTTTAACTATTTATTAAAATACCCGACTAATCTGTGGATTTGGGCTGCCAATTACTTAAAGACTGTACAGTAGACTCACTTCATAATCCGTGTACACAGTATGATAACCTCTGAACTGATATCTGGTAGTTTTATGAACTACTTACGTGAAATAATCATTTTATAAAGCGGTGAATTTGACTTCTGATATAAACTAAGGGCTTTTTTCCTCAGGTCTAAATATGCTGTGACTTTTGCCGCTAAGTGTGTAGTATTCGCGCACCACAATGTTAGGTGCGGCTAGTTTAACCGTGTTTTGGCGAAAGTCGGCTGGCTTTGCCGCAGTATTTACGCTGCCTTCACAAATGGCTGAACAGAGGAAGCACAGCAGGCAGCGCTGCACACAAGACAGTATTTTCGGACATGTCTGGGCGTTTTTCTGCCTTAGAGGAACGTTACTGTCTGCCAGTGTTGTCGCAGGTCTTTACGGTCACTGGCTTATCGCCGTTGCTAAGCAGCAGCACTCGCGTGCCATGAACCTGACAGGGCGGAAATAATGGATTGCCTAAATTAGCTAGTTAGCTAGCGTGTTAGCGAACTTAATGAAAATAATCCGTGTTCGCGAAAATAATGAAGGTCTGTCGGGTCTGCAGTTAAAGGGAAACCTTCCCTTCCAGGAGTCCATATCACGGACCAATTTCAGCTCTGCCTGCCTGTCATGCAGTGTGAGCAGGTCCGGGTTGAGGAGTCAGCACGTGTCTCTCTCTCTCTCTCTCTCTCTCTCTCTCTCTCTCTCTCTCTCTCTCTCTCTCTCTCTCTCTCTCTCTCTCTCTCTCTCTCTCTCTCTCTCTCTCCATTCAATTCAATTCAAAGTAGCTTTATTGGCAGGACTGTTTTGAGTACAATGTTGCCAAAGCATATAAAATTCAACTCAAAGCGGAACATATTTTGTAGAACTATTTTTGTAACAAATATAGAATTAATACTAACAATGATAATGGTCATTGAAATAACAGCAACCACATTAAAATAAATGAAGTAAATAAGTAAAATAAGACAATATAATATATGTTGTAAAGTTTGGTAAAGTAAATAGATAAATACAGTAAATAAATAAAATAAGACAACATATATTATATAATGAAAAATAATTACAATCGGTGTATTTAACCTATATATAGTGAAGGGTTTGGGGGGGTCAGTGAGGTGGGGGTGTGGAGTGTGTTACTGTCCCTCAGGCCGTGACAAGTTGCCACATATTTTGCAGCGAGAGACGCTGAGCTGCCCTCACCAAGGAAGATTGGTAGTTTTTCAGATTCTGTTAGAATTTCAAAATTTGGGAGAATGTTTTTTAATTTTATTATGAAATTTTCTCGTGCCAATTTGAATTTTTCACACTGAAGGAGGAAGTGCAGCTCTGTTTTGACCTCACCGCTCTCACAGTGACCAGGATTTTTTATATCTGCCCGTTTCTATGGCCAGACTGTGGTCACTGAGCCTGTACTTGGTCAGGATCTGTCTCTGCTGTGGGTCTCTGACGGTGAAGAGATACTCTGCCAATTCATACTCTCTGTTTAGGGCCCGATAGTTCTGTAATTTAGACTGATTTCTGGTTTCGCTGTTCCAATGTTCCAGATAGGTGTTTTTACTGTGCTTGATAATTTGGTTTACGCTGATTGGACTTTGGTCAGCAGTGCTGGACCGAGGCTGTTGTGTGTTAGGGGTCAGTGGGTTAGTTAGTCTCAGAACCAGCTGACAGAGGGGACTGGGTTTAGGGCTGAGTTCTTGGGTTTTAAAGTGCTTTATATTGTAGTGAATTTGGATTACTGAATTTTAGATGCTGCCAGAATTTTAAAGCTCTTTTCTGAATGGGTATAATCAGTGGAAATCGGCCTAATTCTGCCCTGCATGCATTTGTTGGTGTTTTTCGTTGAACTTTTAATATATTTCTGCAGAATTCTGCATGCAGGGACTCTCTCTCTCTCTCTCTCTCTCTCTCTGTTTCTCACTCTCTCTCTCTCTCTCTCTCTCTCAGCACACTGTGAACCCGGGCTCTTCTGACGCCATTGGTTCTCTCTGCCACCTCGCATGGCCCGGCAGCCAATAGGACCCGCGGAAACCCTCCCCTCCCCCCAAGCCTTATTATAGCTGCTTCTGGAGGTGTGTGACTGAGATCGCAAAACAACTTTCCGTCGTTTTTGTTTAACCTACATATCTCAAAATACACGAACATGTCTGCGGGCATTATACTGAAGAATGTACACAAACTTAGTAGAGGTGCGCTGGGGGTCTCCAGGCCGCTGTTCTATCACACGGAAAGAGGAGTTTACGGTTACAAACCACGGCGAGAGGCTCCGGCGGAAGAGGGGGACACGGGGATAGACCATTTCTCTTCTCTCAATCAAGGTCAGTGACGATAATCGCGGATTGACAGCAAGCAAGAGAAGCCTAACCATCACTCTTTGTCTTGTATTATCTCACAGACCCCCTGCGTTTGTCGGAAAAGTCGGCCTATGTGTCAACGCGTGCTCACGTTTTTCAAGTTTTCCGAGCTCTTATGTGAATGAAAGATGAACGTTAATGAACTTACCCTCAGGTCTCTGTTTGCTTAACCGTGCCATTTGAATTGACTCATTGAGGTGCCGTCTGTGTTTGCTATTCTTTGTGGACAGATCATGGTCTGGCGCGACTGGTGGAGGCCTATCGCACACATGGACACAAGGCTGCCAAAATTAACCCCTTACTGCCCGACTCGCCTGTCATGGAGAAGGTGCCAGAAATCTCCCTCCTGAATGACACCATCCAAGGAGTCCTGAACACAGCGGGTACGTATGTGTCAGCATTTATTTCTAAGATGTTCATCTCTGGATTTAAAATTCAGTTATTAGTTATGCCCTCGTGCAGTGAGGTTCGACACCAGGGGTTCCCAGTCCTAAGGTCCCCATAGCCTACTGTGCAATTTTTGTCCTTGCCCTCATTTACACCTGATTCAGTTCATTATCTATTTACCAAGCTCCACATGTGCTGGACCAGGTGTTCTTGAATTGGGAGAACACAAAATGTGCAGATCCTGGGGTCCCCAGATCCGGGACTGGGAGGCCCTGGTCTACACCAATGCTCCTCTGATCAAGTCATCTAAAGCTAAAGAACAGCATTTATTGAGAAGGACATTCCAAGCCAGAGAGATATGCATTATTATTATTTATTCTCTTCTGATTGTGGTTTATGATTTCAGGTTTAAAGCACTTTGGGAAAGCAAAGGCCAGTATAGAGGAGGTAGTAGCATACTTGGAAAGCACGTACTGTGGAAGGATCTCGGTGGAAACCAGCCAGCTGCAGAGTCTGGAAGAGAAACAGTGGTTTGCGGATCGCTTTGAGGAGCTCAAGAAAGAGAGTTTCTCTGATGAGGAGAGGAGGCAGCTGGCAAAACTCATGCTTGAATCACAGGTAGGAGCTGAGCATGCTTTTTTGTTTCAGAGTAACAGTTTTATTATTAAACTTAATTTAGTTTCTCTGACTTGTCTGCTTTGGGATATGGTGGTGGTAGTGCAGTTGTGCAGTTAAAATATGTTTTTTCAGAAAGAGTTTTTTTTTTATAGAGTAACGGTAGTTGTCATGCCATGAGTTTCTTTTGCTTATTATTTTGTAGCAGTTGAATTGTTGGATTTGGCAAAAAAAAGTGTTCTCATGAGACGTGATCTTTAAATACCAGTGGGAACGTGCAATGAGTGTGAAGAACTAGTTTTATAAGTCACTGTTTGTGGATTTCATCTCTGCAGTGTTTTTTGTAGCATAAGATCTTTTTCTCTTCTTTTAATATTACAGGAGTTTGACCATTTCCTAGCTACTAAATTTGCTACAGTGAAACGCTATGGAGGAGAGGGAGCAGAGAGCATGATGGGATTTTTCTTGGAGCTGTTCCGTTCTGCGGCAAAAAGCGGAGCGACAGATGTGGTTATGGGAATGCCTCATCGTGGGCGACTCAACTTGCTTACTGGACTTCTGCGCTTCCCACCTGAAGTGAGTACACTACAGCTACAGCTGTGAAAATATGAAATCAATGTCAAGTGACTTTGCTGATAATGTCAAATTGATAAAATTGGAACTTCCTGGCCTGAAACCAAGGTGAAGCAAACACTGCAGTACAGTATTGCATGTGACAATACTATGACAATATCATCCTTTGGGTAAACATTTCAGCAGCAGGAACTGGCAATCTTGGAAATATTTGTCTTAAAAAAATTACTAAGCACACTGCTAGAGCGACAGCTGAGAAAGAGAAGAAAGCCTTTGAGTGGCCCTGTCAGTGTTCTGACCTTCATTTTTTGAAAGCCCTAAAAAATGACTATACACTGAAGTCAACTATCTTGACATGGCTTGAGTAATTCTGCAAAGAGAAAGAAACAAATTTTGCTCCATCATGATGTTTTAAATATGACTGAGGCTTCACTTTAAAGGTTACTGTTTGTAATAGCTGCCAGAGGAGGTGCAGTGTAGTCCATAATGTTTTAAATGTAACATTCTTTGTTTTTATTTTATTTCTTAAATGTGTGCTGGTATTTGGAGGGAGGCTCTGTGAAGGAGGATGTGTAACTCAAAAATGAAATAACATTTAATTTAAAAACAACCGAAAGTCTCAAATGTGAAAAATGGGGTGTGAACCACTTTTTCAAAGAGCATATGTCGAGCTTGCAACTCATTGAAATCCCCAAGCTTCTTCCTTTGATGTCTGTGTTTGGATTTAGTTCAGTGAACCAGCATGACTGAGACCTGCCCAAGGAAGAAATTCAAGTAGTTTGAATTGGCCGTAGCAGAGTCAACAATATTGGATTGCCTTGAGAAAGAAAATGAGTGATGCACTGAACAGTCAGCAATGATAAGGTTGGCAGAGAAAAACTGCAGTTGAGAATAGAAATGCTCTGAACAAAACTTGGCATTGAGTTTTGCTGCTGGAATAATGATGTCTAGGCCTCCCCCAACTCTCTTTTTCTTATATGATATTTTTTCCTTTGCAACTTTCTCTGTCACACTGCAGAGAAGATTAGAGAAGTTTCTTCCTGACATTTGCTTAACCCACTTCAGCGGACTCTCTGGATCATTGAGTAATATTTAAGGATCGTCCAACCCCTGTGCTTCTGCTTTGAGCTGCTTACTTAAGTTTCTCATTTGCTTTCTCGTCTGCTTTGTTTCAGTTGATGTTTCGTAAAATGAGGGGTCTGAGCGAGTTTCCAGAGAATTCACCCTCCATCGGCGATGTGCTGTCCCACCTGACCTCCTCCGTGGACCTGGATGTGGGTGCTGGACACCCTATTCATGTCACTATGCTGCCCAACCCCTCCCACCTGGAGGCTATCAACCCCGTGACGCAGGGGAAGGCTCGCGGCCGACAGCAGGTCAAACAGGAGGGGGACTATTCTAATGACAGCCAGGCTTGGCCTGGAGATAAAGTCATCTGTCTTCAGGTACTGGAGTTGAGATTTTGGTATGTCCAGCTATGTTCAGACTCTCACTAACATGCTCAGTCCTACACCAGTGCAGGTCTTTGCATGAAGACAGAACAGCATTCCTCCAGTCATAATGTATCAGGCGATTATGTAATAACTGGGACAGGCCTACACAGCATGAAACTTTCTTTTTGTTTTTTTTAGGGTAAAGAGCAACACTTTCAGTGACATTGTCCACAATAAAGGAGTATGTTTTGGCAGTAACGTTTTTTTTGGAAAGCTCTTCATATTGAATTCTGTTAATTCTGTTTATGTATCAACTCATCAGGTTCATGGTGACGCCTCATTCTCAGGCCAGGGAATTGTTTTGGAGACCTTCACCCTATCAAATCTCCCTCACTTCAGAGTTGGTGGAAGCATCCATCTCATTGTGAACAATCAAGTGGGCTACACCACTCCGTCCGAGAGGGGTCGCTCATCCTTGTACTGTAGTGATATTGGTATGCTTGATTGAAAGTTCTTTATGTAAAGAAGTTATATCTAGTGCAGTTTGAGGAAGTAAAAAATCTTTTACTGGAATAAAAATCTAAGTAAATAAAATGTGCTTAAAATCTATGCATAACCAACATGAAGTGTGTAATATTTACTCCGTTTTGAGTATGTATATACATGTGGCTGACATTTGAATGAATGTGTATATTATTTATTGTATGTCCTTGAAGCCATAACAATTGCACAATTTAAAATTAAACATTTCTACTTGGATTCCACACAAATCAAAGATAAAGCTGAAGATAAATCTCAGAAAAATAACATAGTGAAAGACAAAAAATGGTACACAAGGGGTAAATCCATAATTTTTTCAAAATTTCTGCATAATTCTATAGTTGAAGATGTAAACAAAGTCAGCAAAAGGTTTGATGTGAAATGTTTCATTTAAGAAAAACTTGCTGATTTCTTTACAGCAATGTTTATAGGAACCAGTGACAAAATCTGCAGCACCAATATAGCCATTTTATTCACTACTTAATGCATCTTTTGAGGTTTATATGTAATGTTGATAATGGCAAAATAGTGGCAAATGTGAAAAAATAAGTTTTCTTTCAGAATTATTGTCTGTGAACAATTCTGACTGAATTTTACATCAAACAACTCTGAATGACTTTTATATCCTAACCATTTCATTATGGTGAAATTAGTCATAAGACAGTGAAATTTATTCCAGTGATATGTCATAAATGATTTGTGTGTGGTTTGATGTGTCCTGCAGGTAAGATGGTGGGTTGTGCTGTGATCCATGTGAATGGAGATGATGCTGAGGAGGTACTCAGAGCGACACGGCTGGCTGTGGAGTACCAGAGACGTTTCAGGAAAGATGTTATAGTAGACCTGCTGTGTTACCGCCAGTGGGGTCACAATGAGCTGGATGAGCCTTTCTTTCACAAACCCAGTTATGTATAAGATCATCCGGTGAGTTTACACTCACAGTCCTGCACTTTTGTATTTGATTTGTCTTAGAGATTCGGGTACACAAGCACATGCAGGAGGAATCTGTAAATACTCAGATGTCCTCAACTGAATACAGTATACTGATATCCTAATTATTACCTATTCATTCACATCCCTCAGCTCAAGAAAGAGCACCCCTGATTTGTATGCTGACCAGCTGATTTCAGAGGGTCTGATGAAGGAGGAAGAGTGCGGTCATATCAAGACAGCTTACTATTCCATGCTCAATGACCGCCTTGCCAACATGACTTACTTTAGCCCTCCACCCACCAACCTCCAGGGTCGTTGGGGGGATCTTGTGGAGCCTCAGAACAGGGTTTCATCATGGGACACCGGTGTGGCTGTACCCCTGCTTCAGTTTGTGGGGGCCAAGTCAGTGGATATACCTGAGGAGATCCAAATGCATAGTCACTTGAGGAAGACACATGTACAGGTATGGAATGAAACATTGCCCCTACAGTAAACAAACCAAGCCTAATCAAACTCATCTGTCACCTGGATTGGATAAGATACAGACATTAGAATGTAACTGGCAGGCTAACATTTGTTTTCTAGCATTCAGTTTTAATGTGATTGCTCAGTTTTTAGCTTAAATTGTAGGACAGCTGAACACACTTATAGGAAAGTGCTTTTTGTGAACTAATAGACCTTTCTCACAGTCACTGTGTCATCACTTATCAAACTTTTTCCTGCATCATTAAACGGCAAGAATGGAGGGTCATCGGTTTTTAGCCTCCCTTAAAAATCTTCATTCGGCCTCGGTGTGGCCAGTAGAAGAGCAGTTGCCGTGTCTTACAGGCAGGTTTAACTTGACCAAAGTACATCACCCAGAAGTTGAAAACATTTGAACTTTGTATGACCTGGCGCGTGTGCCACAGCACACTCTGTTGACCAAGTTGTTTTGGATCTGTTTTCAGATTTAAATTTGCACTAATTCAGATCTCAAATACAGCATCTAACTTGTTCCGCACAGCAAGAAAATCACGTCAGCTGTCTTCAGCATCTTTTCAGAGTGATTTTCATGTAATTTACTCCATATTAGTTGTTACCAGTTCCTGTTTGCTTCAAAGATCTCCCCTGTCCACCAGAGAGAGTGAAGACATCCTTGTGACGTGTATAGCCAGTGATCTGTCTTTGAACTGCTGCTACTACATCGTAGGACAGCTGAACACACTTGGAGGACAGTGCTTACTGCACGATTTTCTTTATGTGAGAGAGTGAAAGGAACTAAGCTGTCCTACCCAGTAAGTGTTCTCTTGTACTCCTGGTCTTAGATGGTATGGAATTGCTGATAATCTATACTTTTAGCAGTACTTGTGCTACCATGAATGGAGTGGAGCGGCCGCAGTTTCTGCTCCCCACTCAGTGTCTCATTTAGCTCTGGGTTTTCCATTTGTTGCTCACCACTCACACATGAGAGAGAACCTGCTCAATGCTCCATAGTCTTTATCCTAACAATATATTTATTTCATATATCTCGATATGTGGCTGCTTCAGTTAAGAAAATCTTTTGATAATGTTATGCACTGTAGAGGGAGAACTACTTAAAATCCTTATGGTTGCTCATTTTAAACTGTTGGATTATTCGTTTTTGGCAAAGTTACAAGCAACAACCCATCCTTGCTCATAAAAGACTGGGCCTTTCCTGGATGCTCCTTTTATACCCAAGCATGAGTGTATCATCTGTTTAGGACATTTTGCAATGTTCCTAGTGTCAAATTGCCCCAGTTGCAACTTCTTTGGAATGTGTTCCAGGTACATTATAACTAGTCAGTCCTGTTGAGGTATGCTGCAACAGGATAGATAATTAAGTACAGGAGTGGCCCCAAAATAATAACTATAAATAAAGTGTATCACCGTGACTCAGACTTGAATCTCGGTCTGCTCTGTAACAGTAGTTTATTGTCTGAGCTACTAAGCAACACTTATTTGGTATAAGAAGGTAATAAGAAAAGAGATGCATTTATGTACCTTTTGTGCAGTTGTTGGGAATACATGGGAATCCTGTTTGCCTGTTTGTAGGAAAATTGTGTACATTTGCTGAAGATTTCAGTTCATTTTTTCGCAGAGTTAAATGATCAGTCACTGGTGCAGGCAGCATTCGATTGTTCCTAATTTCCTGTTGAATTTTACAGTCAAGACTGCAGAAACTTGAAGAGGGAACCAAGCTGGACTGGTCCACTGCAGAAGCCCTGGCCTTTGGCACACTTCTTTGCCAGGGTAAGCAATCTCTGAAAGGCACAGAATTGGGTAGTGATTTACATGGTAAATTGTATCACCGTGTTATACTGAGGAATTCTCTTCTAAAGGTTTACACCATTATGTCAAAGCTTTACTGCTTTTTTTTTCCAACACAGGCTTTAACATTCGAATCAGTGGCCAGGATGTTGGCCGTGGTACATTTAGCCAGCGTCATGCAATGGTTGTGTGCCAAGAGACCAATGAGATATACGTCCCTCTCAATAACATTGATCCTCAACAAAAATGCTACCTGGAGGTCAGACTAGCATTCAGACAAATCAACCCTGAAATGTTACATGCATTCCTTGATTTGAATGATTTACAGTACTGTGAAAAAGTCAGAGACCACTCTATCATTTATTTAATATTCAAGTTATTCATTTTTCAGCATCAGAAAAAAACAGAACATATTCAACAAAATATTTAGACAGAAGCCTCAACAACTGGATATATCATCATATTTTTCAGTATTTAATGTGTCTACCATTTGCCTTTATTACAGCTTCCATTTTTTTTGGAAAACTTGCTTTCACTTTTTCATAAAAATCTGCAGAAATAGTTCTGAATAGTTCTAGTTTCTTATTAGAAATTCTACACCTTTTAAAGTTCAGTCTTAAAAGCTGGTTGCATGTTTCCCTCTCACAACCCAAGTAATCCCAATTACAAATTTACTCTCATCAGTCCATAAAACCTCTATGTCCAGTTTGGGTGTTCTAGTGCATATTTTCTTTTTTTGTTTTCTTTTTCTCAATAATGACTTCTCAAAAGCTACACATCCTTTCAGACACACAATGCTGAGTTTTCTACTTAAAGACTCAAAGTGGAAGGATGGGCAGAAACACCTGTGGATTTTTTTTCAGATCTGAAGCAAGAGTGTCAAAGATGAAAGCTTTAAGTACTGTTTATCTGATGATAACAGTTCTGGTGCTCTGCCAGGTCTTGCACAGCTGTTACGAACCCCAGTTTCTCTATATTTTTAAGTAATTTTTTAAACTCAAATCTTTTTAAACTGTAAATGTTTTTTCACTTATTTTGCACTGGTTATCTTCTATCTCATTTAGCCATTTTAGATGCAGAAGAGAAGCAAGTGTGTAAGGCAGTTAAAGGTGTGTTTGGGTAGTTGCTTGTATGAATGTTAGTGTCTCTTTGAAGGAAAACATCAGTGACTCCTTTGGGAACAGCTTTAGTTAGGAGGACATAGCTATAACTGGTTGGTTCTAAGACTAGAAGGATGTCAGTAGGGTGCAATGGATTTAGATATTATGCTTTTATTTTTCTGATACTTATATAGCTGTTTTGACTGGAAATTAAATAAAAAAACGTGGTTTTTGACTTTTGCACAGTACTGTAGTACCCATTTTTCATGATTGTATCAACAGTTGTAATGTTGCAAACACTAAATATACTGTGTGTTTGAATGTTGTATGTGTTTTATTTCAGGTGTGTAACAGTGCGTTGTCTGAGGAAGCAGTGTTGGGTTTTGAGTATGGGATGAGCATTGCACAGCCAAAACTGTTGCCTATATGGGAGGCTCAGTTTGGAGATTTCTTCAATGGAGCTCAAATAATCTTCGACACCTTTATCTCTGGAGGTACAACAAATGTTGAACGTTAATATTCCTGTAAATTACAGTCACCTCTATTGTGATTACTACTTTTGTGAGGGCCACAATTTCACATCAAGCACAAAGGGTTCTAGCGGTAGATCTTTGTTTAAAACATGATGTCCCTGTTTTCTAGGTGAGGCTAAGTGGCTGCTGCAGAGTGGCATGGTGATCCTGCTGCCCCACGGCTATGATGGAGCTGGACCTGAACATTCGTCCTGTCGAATTGAGCGTTTCTTACAGGTGAACACATCTTAACAAAGTTCAGTACACAAAGGATTTCCACTAGTTCTTGATCAGGCTTAGGAATAGACAGATTGTGTCACTATTGAGCCCATTCTTCTCTGGCAGATGTGTGACAGTAAGGAGGAAGGGGTTGACGGAGATACTGTGAATATGGGGGTGGTGAATCCTACAACACCTGCTCAGTACTTCCACCTCCTGAGGAGACAAATGATCCGAAACTTTCGCAAGCCACTCATTGTGGCTTCACCCAAAACACTGCTGCGATTTCCTGTGAGTTTCCTTTATAGTTTCCTATATTATGAGGGATGATTGTCAATGTTTGCTGTATGCCAGCTGTATGCCTCACTGTGTTTTTCCTTCTCTTCCACTAGGGGGCAGTGTCAGGCCTGGAAGAGATGGGCCCTAGCACTTCCTTCAAGCCTGTAATTGGTGATACCTCTGTAAATCCAGAAAGGTGAGCAATGTGATGATAAAATATATTGCTCCAATGAAAAATATTACCATTTAATAATCCCTCTGATCTGTGATTCAAGTGTGCAGCGGGTACTCCTTTGCTCAGGCAAGCACTATTATGCGCTGCTGAAACACAGAGAGACGTTGCCTGAGGCATCTAAGAACACAGCGCTCATCAGGGTGGAGGAGCTGTGCCCCTTCCCCACAGATGACCTGCAACAGGAGCTCCGCAAATATAGCAATGCCAAAGGTGAGGCCTGCCATGGCTCTGCATCCCTCTAGCATGCAGTTTCTCAGCTTTGGTTCAGACTAATATAATGATATGAGAACATTCACAAATCTGAAAAACACTGCTTTCTTGACCTACTTTGGCCTTCTTACCTCATTCCACTTGCTAAAGCAATACTAATTCAACTGGTGTAAATTCCATGTAAAATCCATTTGTACTATGTTACTATATACTTTCTCTTATATTGCTCTTTTTATATTTAATAATGTCTATAAATCTGTTGCCCAATATGTGTTTGTATTATGTGTAAAACATGTTGTTGTTTTTTTTTTGTTTTTTTTTCAGTTAACATGTTTGTATTATATGCAGTGTTATGCCCTGTTACTGCAATGCTGCAATTCCTAAAAATTAAATAGTTATATTTATCTATTTAACAGCCTTATTTAAAAAAAAAGTCACTTTTGCTTTAATAGTATATAGTATGTAGACAGTTAATATGTGCTTTATATATTGTTATTGTCAGTTAGAGTTTTTTGAAAGAATCTCCTCACTCCTCGCCTGTAGAGTTTATCTGGAGCCAAGAGGAGCCACAGAACATGGGATGCTGGTCATTTGTGTCTCCCAGATTTGAAAAACAGCTTGCCTGTAAGGTGAGGATGTGTAACATTTTCTGACCTTTGCTTATTCCACTGTTGACCTTGAAACAGTGAAAAATCTGTTGTATTGTACCAGAGTTGTGGTTGAGAGACTGTACTAAGAACTAGGTCCTCACTAACTTGTTTTTTTTTGCTGTTTCTCATCCTAGCTGCGGATAGTCAGTAGGCCTGCTCTACCTGCCCCAGCTGTGGGCATCGGAACCCTCCACAATCAACAGCATGAAGCTATCCTTACAGCCTCCTTCTCCTGAGAGAGCACTACACGACATAAAGCACTTACTCAACTTAGCACAGTACCCAATACAGTATAGCTGCCTACAGAACACTTCTCCCAACCAGCCTCAGAGACTCAGTTTAATGTGCTATATGTGTACATATAGCCAAGCATTTAGGGCCCTTTCACACTACTTGATTTGCAGCTGTTTCCAGGTTGATGTAAGTTATAATGATACTCAGGTGACATTCAGCACTACAGTGGAATGTAAAATTGTATTGTATTCTACACTGTACCAGTGTTATTCTAGAACACTAATAAGTGGTGCTGAGTGAGGGGCATTTTGGGCACTGGAATTTGCAGCTCATGCAGTGTGAAAAGGTCTTAAGGAGTACTATTGAGTTGGGATATAAGGGATGAAGAAGTAGCACTTAGCATTATATTGAGACAACAAATCAGACAAACCAAGCATACTAGCAGGTGCTAAGTATGCATGTATTTCTCCAACGTCTAGATTACAAACAGTATTTAATGAGTTTTAATGTCATAGTATTGAATAGATTTTTATCAAGGAGACTTGGAGCTCTCATAGAGGGAGGAAAAAAAAGATTCAAAGAGTCATGACCTCTAATGGAAATAGATGATTGTTTTGTACTAGTTGTGATGGTCAAAGGGAAAGGGTCCTGTGATGTTTTAGAGCAGCACAAGCCGTAAATGATCAAGTACATCTAAAACCAATAGCGTTTCTTGCTGATTTTCAACAGATTATGTTCAAATATGTTTAAAATCACTGTTGATCTGTGTGGAAGGGAAAGTGTCTTTTAAATTCACTACTTGAAGTTTACAAAATGGGCAAAACATTATTTTTTTTATCGTAGGTCAAACAGAACTATCCAGATACAATTCTTCTACAAAATAGTGTTTGCTGAAAAGGGCTAAATTGATCCTTACTGAATGTAGGCTTTCATTGCTGTGTTTTCTTTCTCTGTGAAAAGTGCATTCTTCACACGCCGTTAATTCAACAGCAAAATGGACTCTTCAGTGAAAATGGTAGGCTTTGATTCAGCACCATGGCATCTTAATTACCAAGCTGCTATTTTGTGAAGTGTTTTGTCAACAGTACAAATCCATTTTTTCCACGGATAGTGTTTTCCTGTGGACACAACTGGACATTTTACTTGAATTTCTTTATTCAGTCTTTAATTCTCACTGACAATCTGCTGTGATATTAGATATTTCATGACTTGTGTGGCATTATTAACATTGAAGACCAGTTTCTCAAATGTCTATTAACCCTCCTATTATGTTCAACTGGAAGGAACAGCAATAATGCTCAGAATTATAATGCATGTTTAACCTTCTAAAAGTAGTTCAAAAATATTTTTTCTTCATAAACACTATCTTAAACTCAGTTAATATCAATTTAATCAATATTTAGTGTAATCAAGTGTTTCACCCATTGCAGATCATGGTTTACTTATAAGAATTCACTTGTTTTTCATTACAAAAATATTTTTCAATATTTTCTGTACATTGGCAAAAACTGGACTTTCAACACATTAATTTATTCTTATTTAGACTTTTTCAACATTTTTGACATATTTCCTTTCATTGGGGGCATGTTGATTAATATTAAAATCCTGGGTTAAATCCAGGAGAAAAGGTTTCATGCTCCAAAAATTAATAACACTATTTTTCCTGTAAACTTTGAAATGGGTCAGTTTGACCCAGAATATAACAGGAGGGTTAAGTCTAGTCCTGGATTAAATCATACTGCCTAGAGTGAGTCTCCCATGAAAAATACTTGGTCTAAGACTAGCTTTAATATGTCTGGGAACAAGCTCTCTGTCATTAAGGGAATTTAATTCTGTCAGCAGGCCTTCAGAACAGTCTTACTAAACATGGTTTTATGTGACCAAAGGTCTCAGTCTGCGTTTGTAATATCTGTGTACTTGGCAGGTCAGGGTCATCTGTATGTTCCTCTACATTCACTGGGTCCTGTGTTCCATCTTCCATCACTGCTGTCGGAAGAAAACCTTGTATCTTGGAGAACAGTCTGGTTCCATTGACTTACATTAAAAGTAAAGGAGGTTTTTTCCTTCTCCTGTAAAGTTATCATTTTGGAGAAACGAGGTTTTTCTTCCGACAACAGCAATATGCTCCCAGTGCCCTGCATTACCTCTGGGAAACAACTCTGTTCCCATGGCCAGTGTTTCAGCTCCATGTTGTGTGGCCATTAAACAGTCTACTCTTCGTTTTCCCCTGTAGGACTTTTGATGACCCCAGGACCGTAACCATGATTTCAGCATCCTTATCATAGAATATCATATTGTGGTGTGATGTTATCATACAAGAAGCTAAGAGAATATAGAGCCCTGAAAACATACACTATATGGACAATAGTATTGGGACACCTACACATTACACCCACATGATGTTTTATAACATTCCATTCTAAATCCACAGGCATTAATATGGAGTTGCCCCCACACCCCTTTTGTCCATAGGGTAGGTAGGTCCATGATTGCAAATTAAAAGGGTGGAGACTTTTTACAATTACATCTCTCTCCAGAATCATTTGCTAACCTTATAAAGATCAGCAAAAAAAGTCTAAGAACCATTTATTTGTTATGTTGCAAGTAACCTTTCAGTGAGGTGAAATTATTCTAAGGTGGGAAAATCTTTCCTCTGTTCTGGAAGATGTATTTATTTTAGGTCACACTTTATTTTGATGGTCCCCTATAGATCTACAGATAGTTAAACTATTAACAGACTGCCTGGTGATAGTTGATTATCAAGAACATCATGGTTAAGGTTAGGTTTAGGAGTAGATGTAGGTTTTGTGTTGAGATTAGGGTTAGGGATACACTGAATAGAATCTTTCACACTCAACTTCAAGTTCAGCAGCAGTTCATAGATATTTAGTGAGGATGGCTTCATACTTTTGAATTATTTGGGATAGAAGGGATGCAGGATGCAGCATTTAGCATGATATTGGATGTTACTTAAAGACAGACTGAGCATCTGTAAAGCGTCTACAGTGCACCATCCAAATAAAGTGTTACTTTATTTTACATTTAGATTTGTGATTTAAATGGCTGTTTAGTGTTTTAGTGAACATGACTGCTTCAGAGTGATAGAGCTGCACCTGCCGCTCTCTGAAATGACGGTAGTTCTCTCGGTCAGCTCGCCTCTGTTGTCTATGCAGCAGCACACCGGCTCTCTCTGCTCTGCGGGCTCTCAGTCCGGCTGCTAGTTCTACAGCGAGACCGTCGCCTCAGCACTGGTTCACTGGTGCCCCAGAGCTCAGCCAGCCCACTGAGAGTTAAAACTAAAAATGACTCAGACATACAGGAGAGTTTCTATGTCTGTTGGGCTGGACTGCCTTCCCTCATCAGAGGCGACTCGGCGAGGCGGTATCTGCATCACTCGATTGGATTAGTCACATTTTCGGCTAGCCAGCTACGTAAGGCATCTTTATGGTGGCGTCTGTAGCGGAGTGAGCACAGCAGCAGCGGGGGCTCCGAGCAGGAGGCTCGACTGAGAACCGCCACACTTCTGTCTGCCGGGTTTAACGGTTTGTTTGTGTTCGTGCTGTAGCCGCACCCTGGGTCACAGAACGGGGGTAGCTCTCTCCTTTTTTTGTTCTACTTACGGAGTGTTATCCCTGGCGCCAACATGGCCAGGGGAAACGAAGAGTCCGTGAATGGATCTTGGAAAAAGCAAGTCGATGACATCAAGAAGATTTTTGAGTTTAAGGAGATCCTGGGAACGTGAGTAGCGTTTCTAACCACACACACAAACGCGTGTGAATATCAATTCCCCTTCTACCTGAAACGAGGTCTATGTTTGTGACCAAAACTCAGGTTCTTGTTCGAATGTTTCCGTTCCACCTTAAATGGTGCAGCAGTTACATTGCAGGCACCCGCGCAGCGTCAGGTTCCAGAACGTAACTGCTGCACTATTTAAGGTGGAACGGGAAAATTCGAACAAGAAGCTGGCGAACAGTAAACCAACTTCAGCCTGCTTTTGAAACTTCAGCATGACGCTGTCCACTGCTTAGGTTCATATGTTTCCACGGTAGACTCTGGACCTGTAGGTTATTATAACCAGTCAGACTTCTTCCTAAGAGAATGGGAGCTCTAACCCCAGGCTCTCTCTGCTGAGAGTGCTATGGCAGCTCGGCTTCTGCACACTTGAGGAATGTCAGCTCGCCATGGGCGCGAACTGGACAAGTCCCACTAGTTCAGAGAGCACTTCTGGCTGCCTTCCCTTAGTCTGTTTGGCAGTGGTTTAAAACTGAATTAGTAACGTGTTAAGCTGTTTTTATTTTCATCGTGTTTATTGAATTCCCCTTCAGGACACTTACTTACTTTATTTGCTTACAAACTCATTGAGTTCTGTTATTGTCAACATTTTTCTAGGACTAGTCTGATGTTTCACTGTCAGAGACATTAAAACTGGAAGCGTCTTGTCTACTAACTTGTGTAAGCACTGGATATAGCTTAGGAAAGCCAGTCACTGACTGTTGGTTTATTTTTCCTCTAGCTTTAATGGTTTGTTTTTATCTCCACCCATTTTAAGTGGAAGAGTTTAAATATGAACAATTTCCTCCTTTTTTTCAGTACAGTATGTTGTAGGCAACCATCAGAGAGCAGGATAAGAATCTGTGTTGTCAGTAAGTGCATTATAAAAGGTTCTTACTGTAATTTCCTCAGATCCTCAACCAATTAGTGTTTCCTTGGTCACATGTTAGTGTCTTTGTAAATAACCTAATTAAAGAGGATGTTTTCATCAGAGTGTTCCTTAAGGTTAAATGGTGAAGTTTGAGATTGTTTTTGGATGATGAATTGAATCTATAAAGTAATAGGGCCGGGCAATTAATCAGATTTTATTTTCAGTTACAATTTTGGATTCCAACCATTATGAAAATAAGGTAATCGAGATAAAATTAATATTGTGCCACGTTCTTTTTCACGATGATCCTCTGGTTTTGTTGTGTTGTAAATCCAGCACACTGCTTTGCTTAATTTTTTTGGTTGTTTTTCAGTTGAATTATACTTAAAGTTCAAGGAAATCCACTGTTAAGTTCAATAAATGTGTTATGTTTCCAAATTAGTAATCTTGTTAAATATGAGTGTTAAATGAGTAATGAGTAATCGTGGTAAATAATCCTGATCTCACTATTGACCAAAATAATCGTGATTATGAATGTTGCCCATTCAAACAGCCCTGCTGAGTGACATTCTGTCCAGCAAAGGGCTGATAACATGCGCTGCCCCTGGCCTCATTCTTCAGACACATCTGTGCAGACTGTCGAGAGAGAAAGAGACGGATGTGCCCCTACCAGACCTGCAGATACAATAGCCTCGTGCAAAAACTTAAGAACGTAAGAGTCCAGATTCATTTCCATGTCAACTTCCTGAGGATTCCAAAATAAAAAGTATGAGAAAAAATGTAGTGTGATAGTCTGAACTGGTTGACTTTAATTTTTTTAATTGAATACATTCATTTGGAGGGTTTTGCTCTCTGTTTTCATCTTCTATTGGTTCTACTTGGCCATAAATTAGTTATGAATCTGCTTTACTAACACAGTCTAGTAATCCAGAATCAATCTTTGAGGAAAGGCTCTGCAGTTACAGCAGCAGAAGTCAGTACAGTCAGTACTGCTGTGCTCTCACAGCCTGTAATCTGGCAGATTGTCAGTAAGTAACCCGTGGATCAACATCTACCCCACCACAACTACCCACACATACACAGAAAGTACCCCCAACACTGGAGCTTCCACTGTGGATTAAAACAATATTGATGGCTGAGAGGCTTTAGTTAAAGCTAAGGAAAGACTGAGATTATACCATGTTCAAGAAGATCTCTCTAAACTCACTCTGTTTAAAAAGCTCCTTTCAGAGCCTTAGAAGACTATTAAAATAAGCATTTGTTTCAGAAGTCAGTAGTTCAGTCTGTGTGATGCGAAAACCGGGTGCTGAATTAAACAAAAAGGAAATGGAAATCCGGAACAGGTTCTACCTGGATTATGTCCTGAGGATTTCCCATCCCATCTCTTATATAAGTACCCGTTAATGCGTCTTACACAAGACAGTTCATTCTGATTATTCAGCATACTGGTAGACCAGTTAGCATCATGTAACAACACACAAATAAGCATGTTTATGTTTAAATCTTGTCAAGCATGAAAAACAAAGTCATGGAGTACATTACAGTGAAAGTGTATTTTATCTTTACACTCAAAACACAAGATAGTTCCATCTGATTATTAGAATGGTGGTAAGCCATCTGGCACTGAAATAGAAGTGAATGTTTATATGATCTTCACACTCAAACCACATCTGCTTTTCCTGAACAAGGTAAAACACCACATCTCATGGGCAGCATGTGGTCATCATTTTCCTCATGTCCTGTCAAAAACATTCCCTCCAGTGGTGACTCAACAGAAACCCATTCTCAATCTGCACTGTCCCACATACACACACACAGGGCTGTCCTGCACTGCCACATACCTCTGCATTATGTTTCTCTGGATGCATATCAGAATGCATGATTTAATCCAGCAACCATTTTAGTTTAAGACCCCATAATCCTCATTATGCCTAGGATAAAGTGCTGTACTGGCATGCACCTGCCCTCGTGTGCATACAGTGTGTGTGGTATGCTTTTATTGCGGTTATTCAGCCATCGTGTTTACTGTATTTGTTGTTTTTGGTAATGACAGCAGAAGGTTGTGTTTGTACCATCGTGTGCGGTGCAAACATCAAACCGCTATGGTTTAATTGCTCATGTTTCAATTGTTCAGATTTCAGTGGGTCGCCCCAGAGCCAGTGTTTCAGCTTCACAGTAGCACAGTAAACATCCTGTTATTTGTCATAAATAAACTGAACCCTAAAAAGTGGTATATGT